CCTAGTGCGGCTGCTGCGGAGGGATTACCTGTTTTTGTCGCACTCATTATGTTAAATGGCGAAAATTGCTTCCAACACGTATTCCAATTGATGAAACCTGTGAAGGGAAATATGACAAAACTTTCGAAAAACGTCATATGCCAGCGAGCAACAGAAAAAAACAACATTCCCCCTTGTGGCATCTGTCTTTCATGGCTTCATTTTTTTGGCAGATATGGCAATGTGTGCGCATTCCAGTTTTTAGCTATAGTTCATTGCCTAATACCTACGGCAATGACAGGGATTGTCATATTTGACAAAAAATCCATTGTAAAGAAAAGACTGATTTACGTAAAATAGCGAAAAACGACAAGACCTGTCAGTCGGGTGTCCCATTTTTTATGCGACACTTGTTCTTAAGCGCATCCAGAAATATTAGGTTGTTTCTAAACATCACGTCAACCTTGTATAAGCATAGCACTGTTAAAATTCTATAAGAAATAAAGCTAGGTTTGCAAGATTGTCGGAAGGGAACTCTAAGCATAAACCTGAAGGTAAACTTTGCCTGAAGGCTCTTTTTTTGTGAAATTATTGTTGCATTTTGAGAGTGGGAATTGAATGTAAACATGCCTTTATGGTTGTAGGTGTGCAAGGTGTATTATTTCCAATGTCAATTGATTATTTCCACGGCGCCATATTGAATAGCGAGAACGTTAAATCCAAAGATACATACTTCTACAAGACTACTACGATAGTCTATCCTCATAAGGCCTGTATGGAACAAATCTGAAGCCACCACTGTGCCAAATCAGCGGTTGTGACGTAGCAACACGTCGTTTTTCGCCTCGAAATAGGCTGTATTATGCGGTATTATGCAATCTATTCCAATATGGCCGTTCAGGTCAAATTGTGGTGACGTTCATAAAAAAAAAACCGTTTTTGTTCAAGGCCCTTATTGTTGTAGATGACAAACATGAGAATATGACAATGCCAATGTCAAACCTAAATGTCCAGAATGTGACAAAATAATAATTTTTCATTGGTTGCGTTCACCAGATACAAACGTTGGTAAACGCTTTGCGATTTTTCTGCTGAACGCTACGTTGAATTTGTGTTGAAACCAAACATGTTTTGCAAATGGTCGCCATTTTTGCAAACATAATTTAAGAGTGTTTATAATTTTTAACACTGTGTTTTGTGTGATGACATGACTTTCAGAGGGTGACTTTCTATCATTAAAAAGTTGAATCGTTTAGCAGAACCAAAAGTTTACCCAACATATTCTGTTGGTATTTGTCAACTGTTTACAACCCGTTTTGGTTCTGGTGAACGTAGCCATTGATTTCTATCAGTAACCTAAATGTAAACAACACGGTATCTGACCTGAACTACCATATTGAATTTCGTTTGACAGGTCATGAGATTGCCTAATATGGCCATGATTACCAAAAACAACGCCGATCAGCATTCAGTTAATCAGTAGTGTGTATTTCCTTGCGTCAAATTGTCCTATTTTCAGTATTTTGTTTTTGTTAAGTTAACAAATTGGAAATAAAAACAAATATTTTCACGTGTAATATCCTTGCATTTACACCATACTAGCAGAACCTTGATACCAGCATACCACGCTATAGGATTTTTACGCTTTATTTAGGATGACGTCACATTTAGTAAATTTCTAGTGCCAACCTAACAAAACTAATGGCGATTTCCATTTGTCAATCAGTGCGCACTTCGTGTATCCCCATCTTTTTTTTAAAAGCATGTAACATGTAAGGATATAGATACATTTTTTTTACACTGGTACGATAAATGGAAATCACTATTAATAGTACATTAAAATACAAGTTTCATAAGACGTCATTTTATCGCACGAGCCCTATATTAGAAAACGAGCCGGAGGCGAGTTTTCTAAAGGGCGAGTGCGATAAAATGTCTTATGAAACGAATATTTTATACTATTTTTTCTATTTTGGTATTGTTTAATTTTAAAAAACACTTTTCTTGGAAATTTTATCCTCATATTTCCTGATTTCATATGTTTAGGTTGGTAACACTACATGCCAAATATAGAAATCTTCTATTATTTTTTATCGCGAATGACAGTTCGATGGCCATCAGTCAGCCAGTGTTACCAACCTTCGATAAGTAAAAAAGGAGTGTCACAAAGAGCTTCTTTTCGAAACTACTTTTAGTGTCGAAAAGACTTCGATATAACACCAAAATAGAAAAAGTACTTTTTAACGTACTTAAAGTGGGAGAATTTCAGATGTTTTTGGTTGGCAACGACGGGCAACGTTGCATTTCTGGTAAATTATAAGAAAAAAAATAGGCATTGACAACATTGTCTGTCCTTGTCCGATGATGTCATTCTAAATATAACATAAAAAAAACTATAAGACTGTTCACTTCACGAAGCTTGACAGCGCCAATGCTCTAGCATCTATCTCCCCGAACAGGCCAAATAGCTTTTGCGATGCATATCGTGATAGCGTGCTCTCCAAACATACTCAGGATGGATAACCTATTCTCAGAAAAGATTTGTGTAGATAAAATCTCGAACCCCCAACCACACCAAAATACCAGTGATGACGTAGCAGCGTGTCCTTTCTCGCCTTGACCCAAAGTTGTTTGAGAGAGGTAGGAGGTAGGCTGCCTGAGCTTGAATTCTGTTATGGATAGAGATCGTTATCCCTATCGCTATGGCACTTGCTGTCTTCTTCTCTCTTCTCGAAATCAATAGAGATCTAGAAAACTCTATTCGTTACAGAGTCCCAGCCCAAGGTAACTTTTATGACATATGGTTTTGCTCAACGGCCTCGATTTTTGGAGTCAAGGTCATAATATGGTGCTGCATCCAAGGTTCGTTGCACCGTTGTCGATGTCATCAACGGTGTCGTTAGCTGTACGCAATCTAAGCATTGTTAAAGTTATAAGTGTTTTTTCCATCGATGTTTTACGATGGCTACAACGTTGGAGCAAAGAATATGTTTCAATGGTTGTACCTTGGGCTGGGATCACGATGAGTAGATTTCTACTTTCATGACGTCACCCGCGTCCTATTTATCGCGTGCAGTACAAGAGATTATGATGGTTGCTAGGCAACCTAACGTCATGAAAGTAGAATTCTACTTGTCGTTATCCCAGCCCTGAAGTGCTCAAGCCCGAACAAAACCATTTAAATGCACGAAAAACAGTATATCTTTTTTTTTCAATCGGGAGGGAGGATTTGTTCCACACAGACCTTATGATTTTAGGCAATTTTGTAGTAGTAGTGTGTATCATCCTTGGTACCGTAGTATGATGGTATCTTATGGATCAAGGTACCTACACTCTACTAGGTATAGTTTGTCGATTTTAATCTGATACTACAAAAAAATGTAGGCTAGTAGCTTCCTACATTAAGACGCCAATGGTTACCTGATTACCGGACGTCACACCTGTTTTTGCCATATGTAACAACCCTTGGCTCCTCATACAGGAAGTGTCAGATTAAAAACGACGGACTTTATGCATAAATCTGCCAATTTTGATATTAAGCGGCGTGACGTCACAAACGAAATCGTGAGCGCTATTGTTTGATGTCCAGAATGTGACAAAATAATAATTTTTCATTGATTTCTATCAGTAACCTAAATGTAAACAATGCAGTGTCTGACCTGAATTTCCATATTGAATTTCGTTTGACAGGTCATGAGATTACCCAATACCCCAGATGACGTCAGAAAGTTATCAGAGCTAAAACTCTGTAACGAATAGATATATTTTCTCCATCTCTATTGACGTTCCCTCTCTATCGATTTTGAAAAGAGAGAAGAAGACAGCAATTGTCATATAGCGATGGGGATAACGATCTGTATCCGTTACAGAGTCTTAGCCCAGGCCACATAATTCTCTTAAACAACCTTGGGATTCTTGGGAATTGATGTTAAATCCCAACGTCACTGGATTGCAGATGAGCGTAGTTTTTGATGTTTAATAAATCAATAATAGATGGCGCCGCAATAACTAGTGTAATCTGTAATCTACAGTCAAGGAGAATACACACTCTAAGGAGTGCTTTTATCGGCCTCGTTTTTGGTAATCGCCGCCATATTGGTGTGCCACCATTGCCGACGTCATAATTAAGTCGTCAGCTGTTTAAACGTCATTGGTTTAAACAGCATGTGTCAAGGCGAGAAATAACATGCTGCCTACGTCACAACTGGATTGTGAAGGTAGAGTAGTTGTTTGTCAGAGTGTTCTGACGTCATCACTTGGAGTGCACTCTGGGTGCGCCTTTTCTGGACGTAATTCGGGTGTTGCGCTAAATGTCAACGTTAAATCCGGTAAAAACCTCGGGGCGTTTCAGTTTGAGTCTGACACCGGTGCGACGCCCTAGCTGTTCAAAAATGCTTGACGGTGCTATGAGCCCAATGGCCAAATGTCAATTCAGGCACACCCATAAAATTGCACTCGCACCCTGTGCGTTATTTCTGAACTCGGCTCTGAGTGGGGTAATTTGGGCGCACTCTGGGCATGTCAACTCTCGATTTCTGTACGATTCCAGCTTAACGCTCCCGGGTAAGCACCTGTTAATTTATGAATAGGGTCACTCTCACACCCAGAGTGCTATTTCTAAACGCAACCCTGGTATTTTGGCTTGAGGGGTAAGGAGGTGATTTGTTACACACAGGCCTTATGAGGATAGGCCATCGGCCATCCTGTAGTAGTAGTGTGTATCATCCTTGATCTGTAAAATTGACAGTCGCGAATATTATCGAAAACATATATCGATACATAACGCTCTGACTAATTTGTGCCTATGTTCCGATATCAACTGGCAGTACTGAGTTTACTGGGCGCCGTTCCGATATTATTTTCAGTACACTGGATTCAGTCGATTCAGTACTGAATGACCACAAGAGTACGCTGTTGAAATCGGAACGTCAAATGACAGTAAAATCAGCACAGTAAATCCAGTACTGGCAGTTGATATCGGAACATAGCCTGTATCAATGCCCTTTTTTCGCTTCTAACCTCAAACTTTCAAATCATAACAAAGTGTACCTTGTACGTCACGTATTTACATTTACTCATATACATTCCAATATAAAAATGACCAAAGAAAAGAAAAACGTCTGCATAGTAGTGTTGGGTGATATAGGGCGCAGCCCCAGAATGCAATACCACGCGTTGTCATTGAGCGAAAAGGGCCACAAAGTGGACATTTTAGGCTACGGTGACACCGCACCCATGCCGTCAATCAAAGAAGCCCCTTCAGTGTATTACCATTATTTATGCCCAGTACCCCAAATACCCCTCAAACTCATCAATTACGCTTTCAAAACCATATTTCAAGCTTTAAACTTACTATTGTTGTTTTGTACTATTAGAAGACCCAAAGTTTTGATGGTCCAAAATCCTCCAGCAATTCCAAGCCTTGCAGTATGTTGGCTATTTTGCAGAATTATTAGGGCCAAGTTTGTCATTGACTGGCACAATTATGCCCACACTATAATGGCTTTGGGGTTGCACCAAGACCATATTTTGGTGCAAATAACCAAAAAATGTGAAGATTTTATAGGGGCCAGGGCAGATTATAATTTCTGTGTTACAAATGCAATGAGGCAAGATTTGGCTGGTAGAAATATTAAGGCTATAACTTTGTATGATAAGCCTCCTGAAATTTTTAAACAGATTAGTTTGAATGAGAAACATGAGTTTTTGATGAGGATTGGGGCAACTTACACTGACATTTTAGATGGTGATGAGACAGTATTCACTAAAAAAGATAGTGAGGGTAATGTGGTACTTAAGCCTACTAGGCCAGGCTTTTTAGTGTCCAGCACCAGCTGGACAGAAGATGAAGATTTTTCTATATTATTTTCTGCTTTAGCAGATTATGAAAACCAACACAATACGAGAAAACTGCCTGATTTAATATGTTTTATAACTGGTAAAGGGCACTTGAAGGAATACTATTGCCAGAAAATCCAACAGCAAAACTGGAACCATGTCAAAGTAATCACTCCTTGGCTGGAATCCAATGATTATCCTTTGATTCTAGCCTCAGCTGATTTGGGGGTTTGTTTGCATACAAGTTCCAGTGGCTTGGATTTGCCTATGAAGGTTGTTGATATGTTCGGATGTTGTTTACCAGTATTGGCATATGATTTTAATTGGTAAACTATTATATAATAATTATATATAATACTTATGTGATAATTCTAGTCTACATGAATTGGTCATCAATGGTAAAAACAGTTACACATTTACATCAGCTGAAGAATTATCTGGCAAACTGTTAAATTGGTTTGAAGATTTTCCAGTTAATAAGGAGCAAATGAAGATTCAAAACCAGTTTAAAGGGGAACTTGAAAGTTTCCAGAAACTCAGGTGGAAGGAAAATTGGGACACAATTGCCTACACTGTTTTCAACTAAATAAAATGTATTTATTTCTACACAATAGATATTTAATGTTTTTCTTGTTCATAAATTATCCGGGCATATTCCTCTTCTCGTGCGTATCTCTGTTTTTTGGCCCAAGGTTTGTAAAACTGCGAATACGCTATCAAAAACGATAAAGTAAACCCTACACCAGCAAATAGAACATATTTCGGGTTGCCGCTCTGTTGTTGGCGCCAGGCTTGATAATTGGCCATCTTTTTACCAAACATTTTTTAGTTTGGGGTTTCGGTTACTTGGGGGGTTTCTTTTGCTTCTTTCGACTTTTGGAAAAGCGGTTTCCAGATGTAAATACCACCAAGGATGCCTACGCCAACTGCTAAACCGATATCTACACCGTTGAATCTTCCGAAGCGACGAATTCGGGGAATTCGCATATTTTTGATTACCAGAGATTTGATTTATTTTTTTGAGGTTATGTTTGCTTTTCACTTGACCTTGACATGAAATTTCTCTGGCGGTTGGCGTTTGTTTTATGACGAGAGCTTATCGATACGACTTAATTTTTTGGTATATCGATAAGTATCGACAAGGATATTTCAAAATTAAACCGTTAAATGCAAATATCGATAATTTAAATAATCAGCACCTTCATATTTTTGCTATACCATGTGACAAAAAAATTTAACATCACAAATGCTTGCCCATCGCCGCCATATTGAATTATCCCCTCCTTCGTTCCAACCAAATCACCAGTTCTGACGTAGGCAGCTTGTTATTTCTTGCCTTGACTTAGCCTGTTTAAAGAGGATGTGCGCCAAAAAAACAACGTCATATCAATGAAAAAAAAAATAAACCTTTAAGAATAAAGTCAAAACCGCATCCCTCTATGAAAAATAATTCCGAAGATATGGCTCTATAGGTAGGTCCGGCTTGCTCACTCCGAGTGACTTCAGCCGTCACTTGCTGACGTCACACACATAACCTCACTTCCGTTGGGGGGACTACGTTTGAAAAGTCTATTTAACACACAGGCGCTTTTGGAAGCCAGGGTCTGGAATCACGACGAGTGGAATGCTACTTTTATGACGTCACTCGCGACCTATTTATCGCGTACAGTACAGGCAATGATGATGGTTGCTAAGCAACCTGACGTCATGAAAGTAGAATGTTGACTGTTGTTTTGCAACGGAACAAATCAGCTGTTTGACATTTTTGCTCCGACCGTTCCTCTGGTCGTTCGTGTATTAATTTTTCACTCTAATCACTCCTAGATCACGTGACAAAAATGTGTCCTTACTCCACTCCAACTCCATGCTGAATAGCCGAACCCAGCTTATGAAGGTACCGCGTCACGCCCTATGACGTCACGAGAGCTCAAGCACCGCACGAGTTAAGTAAAGTGCATTGAATTTATTATCAATTCACAATCCGATGTCCAAAGGTAAAGGTAAAATTTATCACCTTTCAGTGCTAGTTGATAGGGGAAGGTGATAAATTTACCTTTACCTTTGGACTACGGATTGTGAATAGGATATACATATGTTCTTTCTGTGCCACCTGCAATAATCTAAACAAAAACTACTACGCATGCCGGAAACAAACGAATGAACAGTGCGGAGTGCAACTGGACGAAACTCTCGTGACGTCACACATACTTTAAGGCGGTGTATCTCGGCGATGGTTTATCATAGAATAGCGAGGTTTGAACAGTTATTTTTAGATTTTTTAATACTGAAACTTTTATTTTTGGCGCACACCCCCTTTAAACATCTGACATCTTAGTTATGACCGCTTAAGGTTCGTAAAGTTGACAGGTTACCGGGTAATGGGTAACCTGATGACGCGTCTGGGGTGCCTTATGGAGATTTGCATTATGTTGAGGCACCCCGGATGACGTCATAAAGTTATTAGGCAACCTACCTCTCTCAAACAACCTTGATGACCGCTGGCGCAAACAGCTGATATCGCTGACATCTTAGGTTATGACGTCGAAAATGGTGAGATACCAATATGGCGGCAATTATCAAAAACGTGGCTGATAAGTAATCCTGAGTAGTGTGTATTATCCTTGGCTCTGGACGAAGTTCACGTGTTGGACTTGAACAATAGAACGTTTTCAAGTCTCGATCAAAAGTTTGATCAAAACAACAGAGTTGATTGAATAAAGGGTGTGCCCTGGTTTGTATTATAATCGCTCCTAGAGAACACTCCCACAGAGATCTGTGACATCACCACCCAAACGGGGAGCGCTCTGAGAGGAGTAAGGTCAAAAATGGTATAAAATAAGAACCACCTAATGACGTCATCTATTTGCCATTAATAGATAATGTCGTTTGGCTGAACTCGACTGTGTCCGCGCCTAAAGAAGTTTTCACTCCAAAAATTGGTAGATATAAGAGAACCTTCATATTTTTTCTATTCCAGGCTCTCGACTTTTCTTTACTGTGACAAATTCAAAAGCCAGGAATGAACAAACTTTGGAAATTGAAATGGAAAAATTGAGAAATAGAAGAGGAAAGCAGTAGTCGTGGTAGAAATGAAACTTCTTGAAAACTTTCCCCTGGCCCAGCCCCCCTCATTCAACTTATAGACGAAGTACCACACAAAAAAGAAACGCGCATTTGTAGTGACGTCACAAGCAAAATGACGTTTAACAATAAAAAACAATCAATCCTCTTTGCTTTGGTTTGTGTCAATCGAAGGCTGTCTTTATCCGTCTCTCTACTTTATAACTTGTTTTCTCGCTCGTGTAACGAAATTTGTCAAAACGTGATGCCTCTTTCATATCACTCTCCATTGTCGTCCAAATACCAGATTCAGAACCATCTATGATTAGTCTATCTTTGTCTAGTTCATAGAAAATTGAAATGGCTATTTCATAATGCTGGCAACAAATGGATCTATCGCTCAATTCGCGTAAATTCACGGTTTGTGGTTTAAAGATCACACGACAGAAGTGAAAATTTCAAAAATCAATTAAAACGTAGGTTAAATAAACAATCATCACATATACTTGACCTACACTGCCATATTGAATCCTGACATTTGTGGTTTAGATTTAAGGTTGTTTGGATCAAGGTTATAAAGAGGGAGGTTGTTTGATAATTTTTTGACGTCATCTGCATGTCTAAACATAATGAAAATCCTTATAGGAACAATCTAAAACCGAATTTTCGCGACGAACTACTTTCATGATTTCATGAACACAAACGCTTTCGTGAGAAACGCATGACGTCATAATGAACGTAGTTCGAAGTCAGCATGGAATGCAGCCTTTAGCCAGCGTTCAAACTCGTGACGTCACAGACAACTATAGTTCGTTTTTGGATGAAGTATATTCGTCGCGAAAATTCGGTTTAGTTGAAGATAAGAATTACCTCATGACGTCATCTTTTTGCTATCACCAGACAACCTCTTTTACAAACAACAAACATTTTTCCACATCGACGTCGAAATTTGAGCTGTTCTAGTTACTTTTTTGAAACTAGTTCAAAACAGGGCTGGGATTACAACGAGTAGAATTTTACCTTCATGACGTTACCTGCTACCTATTTATTGCGCACTGATCATGATGATGATTGCTAGGCAACCTGACGTCATGAAAGTAGCATTCTATTAGAAGTGATCCCAAATCAAGGTTCCTAAAGTTAATAGGTTGTCTGGTAACAAGGATGATAAACACTACTACTACAGAATGGCCTATCCTCATAAGACCTGTGTGCAACAAATCCCTACCTTCCCCTCTACGCCAAACAATCAGTTGTGACGTAGGCAGCATGTTATTTCTCGTCTTGACATAGGCTGTTCAACATGGTGGCACACCAATATGGCAGCGATAACCAAAAACGGGGCCGATGAGCACTCCTTAGAGTGTGTATTCTCCTTGGTCTAGTAATAGGTAACTTGATGACGCATCTGGGATGCCTTAGGAGATTGCATTATGTTGAGGCACCCCAGATGACGTCATAAAGTTATCAGCAACTTACCTCTCTCAAACAACTTTGATCCCAGCCTCTAGTCGCATTCCAATAACGCACTTTAAGATGTCTTGAACTGCTCTAGAGCGCCCTGGACTGTTTATAGGCGTTCCATTGCATTAGAGCTTCGCCCAACTGAACTGTTCGTTTTTAATCTCTAAGTAGGGTGCGTTTCAGTGTCACAACAGTTGTTTGAGGCACCAGAGTGTGTGAAGCACCTTAAAATTCGTCACTGGAAAGCGGCTCAGGGCTAAAAGCACGACAAGTACAATTCTACTTTCATGGCGTCAGGTTGCCTGGCAACCGTCATCATACCTATACTGTACGCGATAAATAGGTCGCGAGTGACGTCATGAAAATAGAATATTACTTATCGTGATCCCAGCCCATAAGGGCTATGATCGCGACGAGTAGAATTCTACTTTCATGACGTCACCCGCGACCTATTTATCGCGTACAGTACAGGCAACCTGACGTAATGGGAGTAGAATTCTAGTGGAATTCTACTTGCCGTGATCCCAGCCCTGGTTTGAAACAGTATATTCTCGCGATGAACCCATGACGTCACATCAAAATTGGTTCAAACAAATGTCATTGGTTTAAACCGTAGGTATCGAAATACAATTCAAGGTCTGTTTTGACAAGAATTTCAGACAGTTTGCAAACTGTCAGAAAGCATTGCCCATACATGTTTTCCATGCTGTCGTGCTAAAATAAATCGTTAACTTAGCTGATCGATTGTTTCTGACAGTTTGCAAACTGTCAAAGAATCTTGTTGGAACAAAAGTGAACGGCAGACCTCTAATCCCAAGGATAATACACACTACTAAAGATTGCTTATCAGTCTCGTTTTTGGTAATCGTGGCCATATTGGTGTAGTACCATTGCTGGCGTCATTAACTAAATCGTTAGTAGTTTGCGCCAGCGGTCGCAAACAAGGTTTGTTTTATAGCGAATTCTATTGGAAGAATCAGTCCAGAAAAAATGTATTTCAATCTCTTTCTTATACAAGCTGGTAAAATACACCCAGTGCGCACTAACCCTTCCAATAGAATTCGCTATTAAAATGTTAAATAATGAACTAAAACCACATAGGCATAAAGTAAAAATCAGCGCAAACATAACTTGTGGTGCAAACACCCTACGTCAACCCGAAAAACAACATGCTGCCTACGTCATCACTGTTACTTTGGCGTGATGAGGGATTTCGACTAACACCGTAGCGAGTAGTTCGAGTGTTTTTCACTATTGAAAAGAATACAACTATTACTCTCTTTCTCGCACTACTGACTGTTTCTGTTTCTCTCTCTGGCTTGGCTGAACTCGACTTGAGCCGACTGTAACCGATCGAATGAGCGTTAACAATTCGGGCGTGACGGCTCAAATTCATTCACTACCCAGAAACATTTCTGTGATGAGTGATGATTAATAATTATAAAAAAACTATTTATCAGAAATTCAAGAGCCGGGAATAGAATCGATAACTATGAATGAATATCGATAAGTTCTCCTCTAGTTTGCTGCAGCCGGATTCTATAGGCAATTTTTTGGAGCACAGCCCGAATCAGAAGAATTCCATCGAGGTGTACGGGTGACGTCATCATATAGGCCGCTGATAGTGATGTCACTCGGAGACCCAGAATATATGTAGTGGGAGTTAGGGGAATATGACACATCACATAACCCATTATAATTATGCTCATTAGATTATGCTTGATTATCCTCGCCCTCGCGAAAAATTGCCTGCTATACTTCAATGGTTTCGCGCCACAATTTAAAAGAGGCAGGTCGCCTGATATTTTTCATGACGTCATCTGTATGCCTAACAATGCAAACCATCTAATAGCGCTCTCAACTTTTGCCTCAAATTTTGCCTAGTAATTCTACTCTGACTGTTCCATATGCACTGACTCTTTTCGATCTGTTCAACTGTCCGAACTGCTTTGACTGTTCTAATTCTGTTCCATTTGCACTAACTCGATTTAAATTACCCATTTCGGAACTGAAAAATGAACTTTCATGCTAGGTATAGTCTATATTCAGGATATACTTGAATTGTCGAACCGGTCCTAAGCGTTCCATCTATATATTTTATTTGAATACCTCCTATTGTTCGAGTTACTCTCAGTGTTCCAATTGCCTTAGGCCCGTATTCATAGTCGATGCTCAAGATTGCGTCTTGGCTCAATTACAACTTGACGCCATATTTACGTTTCCAAACAGCACGGAACGATGCTCACAACTGTCAAAAATCGGGGCTTGAGCCAAGCACCCGTCTATGAATACCGGGCTTAATTTCTGTTCCATCTGCACAACTCTGTTCTGTTTTCTCTGCTCTGATTGTTACTGTTCGAACTACTCTTATATGCTATTAAACAATGACATATTCACTATAGCAGTAGGCTGATTTGAAAAATAATTTTGGGCTTTTAGTAATTCTACCCTGACTGTTCCATGTGCACGGACTTTTTTTGATCTGTTCAATTGTCCGAACTACTACCATACTCTGAGTGCTCCAATTGCTTTGATTTCTGTTCTATCTGCACTAACTATGTTCTGCTTGCACTACTCTGATTGTTATTGTTCGGTGTCGATAAAAGACTATCGAAAACAGACGATTGTTCCATAAAAACCCCGGACAACTCACATCACATTGACAATGTTTTGACAGTTCATTATTGTATTGTTGAATGTTGATATTTTTTTCAGATATATTTATTATTATCCCAAGATAAATAAATAAAAAACTTTATCATTGATTAATTATTTATAGTAATTACACAATGAAACATTAAAAAAGTGTACAATACAAAAATTGTTGAGATGGAGCTACAAGAACATCCCAATAGCGATTCGGATACGGTCTTTGCTGATTCAGAAGTTAGTACCTTATAAATTTCAATCAAAATCCAATATTAATAACAAATCAAATCTACTCCAGCTACCTTCGGAGAACCTAGACCCCCTGGATTCGGCCCTAAACGAACTAGGCATGCTGGCTACCAGCACCAATTCGAGAAAAAAATACCTTGCGGAAATCAAAACCCAAAACTACCTTAACAACATGCTAACAACCATCAATACTCGATACGTCAGCAATGTATCGATAGGTTTCCGAGTGAAGCCCCATGCACCTTCGAACAGGTATAGACCCTACCAAACCCCTCTAAAAGAGCGCCACAGGACCAGATCGGAAAACAACGACTCAGAACCAAGTGTCGCTCAGAAAATCATCGATTCTATAACGGCATCGATAGCTGAAATGTCGCAGCTGAAAAAAGCCAAATCATTGGAGAGCATTGTGGCCGAAGGGGGCGAGGATATGGATTTGGGGAGTATCAAGTTTGAGAGTCATGGGGAGCTGGAACAAGTGTCCGAAGCTGTGCAAAAACTTCGAGTAGCCGAATGAGAGTTTTGTGATAAATTTTAGTATTATTTATTCAAGTGTAGCTTAATAATTTATGAGTAAAATTATGTATATTTCATGCAAGATAATTGGGTGTTTTACTTTAGTTCAAGAAGTAGGCATTATTCAATCTATTTTTCTAGGAAAAAGTTGAATTTCTTTCCCTTGGTTATTAATGAAAATAATGGAAAAAATACATAGGTCAATAATGGTAATGACGTCATGACGCAAGGATATTGTCATGACGTAGGTTTCTATTGGTTCAATTTCAAACTGTCAATTAAAAAAAAAAAGAACAGGTTCCTATATGTTAGGTTTTGCGTAGAGCCACAGAATCCTGACGGTGAAATATATGGTTCCCTGCTGGGTTGGCAAGAGCTTTGTGGAAGGGCCGACATTGAATGAGTGAGAAAGAGAAGGCACGATTGTAGGAAAAATTAAACAAAAATTAAGATGGAAAAATGTGAATATTCATATTTTTTCTATTCCAGGCTCTCGAATGTTTTTTATTGAGACTAATTCGAGAGCCGGGAATAAACAAAAATTGACTTCAACAAAACAATTTTAAAATGGCCGTCCAAGGCCTACTTTGATGTTTATTTCGAAAGGTGAAGTTAGCTGATATTACAGGAACTCAATACCCCTTTACAGTGAGGACAATAGAGGTTCATTCGCCATATTTTTGCGAATTTTGAATATTTCATTAGTTTCATTCTCGCCAATTTTCAAAATGAATATATAGGATTTCAAAAAAAGGACAGCATTTGTCACCACTGTAGCTAATCTGACAGTTTTCTACTTATCACGAGAATATTTCCTATGAAAAATGGCATTTTATTTGAATATCAACGTGCCTTTTATGGAAAATCCAATTCCTCGTATCACAACAAACATTTTCCGCACTGAAATCTATTGGAAAATATTCGAAAAAAACCAATGACGGCCAAAAAAACGCAATTTCAAAATGGCCGCAAAAGGCCTGCTTTGATGTTTTTGAAACGTGAAGTTAGCTAATGAATTGATAAACAATTAGATTAGATTTTCCTTAAAAATTCAATTCTTTGCAGCTTGCACCCCAATAAACGTTGGTATAAAACTAACAAAACGCAATAGGGCAATTCAACGACCTGTGAAAACATCAATTCAATATGGCGGAAACGGTCAAACATCTGCGTTGTGTGTTTATGTCAAGATCCGTGTTATCATAAAACTGTTCTCTGTGTGTAATTTGTGGATTTTTGAGAGGATTTTCTATTGTTCGAATACGATAGTTTACGTATTTTCGTAGTGTATAAACGAAAAAACAAACACACATCACAGATATTAGAGACAGTTGCCGCCATATTGAATTTATTTTTTGACAGATCGTTGGATTGCAGGGATAATACACACTACTAAAGAATGCTTATCGCAAGGTTCCTAAAGTTATTAGCTTTTTTTGATATTGCTTCGACAATTTGACGTTTGATTCACGCATAAAACGTCAAAATATTGAAGCAATGTCAAAAAAGAGCTAATTTCGCGGTTATGAGTATTAGGCTAATGGAGATTTACATTAAGGTTGTTTAAAAGAGGGAGGTTGCTTGATAACTTCTATGACGTCATCTGTATGCCGGAGGGCTGGGGTTATTTTAATTACGAGCCCGAAGGGCCGAGGTTATACGAACCCGAACGGCCAGAGTTATGCGAGCCTGAAGGACCGGGGTTATTTTAATTACGAGCGAGTCATCAATTTACTCATTACCAGACAATCCGTTAACTTTAGGAACCTTGGATTTGCATTATGTTGAGGCACCCCAGATGACGTCATAAAGTTATCAGGGGTGCGTTTAAGGAAGGCAATGCTAATGCCAAAACCTGCTTTTCTTCTCCACCTGAAATGCGGAACCACGTAGGTTGGAGCCGAACTCGAACGCAAAATGCCAATTTTGGCTTGGCTGTAGCTATTCCTGAACGCATCCCAGGCAACCTACTTCTCTCAAACAACATTAGTTGTATTCCTTTCAAGAGCTTGAAACACTCGAGCTACTCGCTTCGGTGCTTAGTCGCCCCCGATTTGCAGGGAACATATGCGTGGTGCAACAAACACTTTTCGAAAGGAATAAGCGCGTGAAGCCCCGGAGCTGTTCCGGAGCTCCTCCTAGGTGTGAAAGGAATACAAATTTTGGCTTACCGGCCTCGTTTTTGGTAATCGCCGCCATATTGATGTGTCACCATTTTCGACGTCATTAACAAGTTGTCAGCTGTTTGCACTAGAGAAATCGCAGTTTAGAATTTTATTTTGGTTAACATAATAGGCAAAGAAGAAAATGAAAACGAGATCTAAAAAAGAGTTGTTTTAGAATGTTAATTAATGTAGTATGCATAAAGCAAAATCCCGCGGAATCATAACCTGTCGTGCAAACAGCCTACGTCAAGGCGAAAAAAGGACATACTGTTTAAGTCACAATTGGTGATTTGGCACGGTGGGGGGCTTCAGATTTGTTCCACACAGGTCTTATAAGGACAGGCTATCCTGTAGTAGTAATGTGTTGTCGTTGGTTGGATGGTTTCATTTTTAAATGGCCGACCAAATCTAAGGAGAATACACACTCTAAGGAGTGCTTATCGACCTCGTTTTTGGTAATCGCCACCATATTCGTTTTCAACTGTTTTCAACCATTGCCGACGTCAACTAAGTCTTCACAACTTAAACAGCCTACGTCAAGGTGAGAAACGCCATGCTGCTACGTCACAACTGGTTGTTTGGGATAGTAGGGGAAGGGGGGGATTTGTTTCACATAGGCCTTATGAGGATAAGTCATCCTGTAGTAGTAGTGTGTATCATCCTTGGTGCTTATCGACTGCGGTTTTGGTAATCGCCGCCATATTGGTTTTCAACCTTTGATGATGTCATAACTAAGTCGTCAGCTGTTTAAACTAAACAGCCTTCGTCAAGGCGAGAAAAGTCATGCTGCATACGTCACAACTGGTTGTTTGGCTATGTGGGGTAAGGGGGAGATTTGTTACACACAGGCCTTATGAGGATATGCCATCCTGTAGTAGTAGTGTGTATCAACCTTGGTCCTTGGACCAAATCCACCTTTGATATTTTCGAAACGTGAAGTTAGCTTAACGGAAAATTTTCATTTCTCTTGACGAAATATCAGATTTTCTTTAAAAATTACCAATTATTCAATTCCTTGCACCACAAAAAAATGTTATTTTTTGTATAAACTTACCAAAATGCAATAGGACAATCCAACGACTTGTCAAAACACAAATTTAATATGGCGGCAACGGTCAAACATCTGTGATGTGTTTGTCTTTTGTGTTTATACACTACGAAACTAAAAAAATTATCCTTCTCAAGCAACAGACCAGAGGGTTGCGTTTAGAAATAGCACTCTAGGTCTGAGGGTGACTCTAGAGTAACTTTGAACCGTTTATAAGTTAACAGGTGCTTACTCGGAGCGTTACGCTGGAATCGTTCAGGAATCGAGTATTGACGAGCCCAGAGTACTCGGTGTGACTCCCACGGTGATTTCGAACGCACCCCAGAAATTGCTCACCCAGAGTGCACTCCAAATGATGACGTCAGAACACTCTGACAAATAACTACTCTACCTTCACACTCTATTTCTAAACGCATTCCAGTTTTATGATAACAAAACATCACGGCTGTCTGAAGGTAATTGAAATCCTTCATTGTTTGACCATTGCCGCCATACGGATTGGATTACCCAACTTTTAAATGGCCGCTCAAAAAGCCTACTTTGATTGTTTTTGACACGTGAACTTATTTTCTATGAAAAATTATACAAAAACCATGGGCGACGTTTGGGGGGGGGCAAGAGGGGGCATTTGCCCCCCCCTAGAAATAGTCTTTTGAACAAGAAAGCATTAAAAGAGAGTTCGTACTGATGGTTGAGTTTCAACCTCCTATCAATTTGCATTGAGTAAACCGAATGTTGAAACTCAACCATCGGCTCAGTGCAGGGCCGTAGCCAGGGGAGGCATTGGGGGCAATGCCCTATCTTTTAAATGATGATGCCCTACCTTTAAAAATCAACATGCATTAAGGTTTCTCTAGAAAATTTAAGAGTAGATAATGCCTGAAGTAGAAAGGCCTGAAATCGAGTAAGCGAGGATGAATGTTTCCGAAAACGCCTAAGTCGCCTAAATGTAATGAACAATGTTTGACGTTTGCACAGAGGAAGTTTTTTTGTTTTGAAAGAGTACGAATGCCCAAGGCGGCCGGCGCGGGAATCAGCGCCATTTTGTTTACTTGCCAGAGATGTTATTTATTGCAAGGTTGTTTGATAGAGGCAAAAGAGGTAGGTTGCCAGGTAACTTTATGACGTCATCTAGGGTGCCTCGGCATAATGCAAATCTCCATAAGGTACCCCAGATCAGATGCGTCATCAAGTTGCCCATTACCAGACAAAACTGAATCTTGATTTATTGAAAAGTTTGCCTTCGCGGCAATCGGCGCCATTAGCCCCATTTTGTTTACCTATAAAAAATTTAAGGAGGGGGCAAGTAGTGTATGCCCTATGTCAAATTTGTCATGCCCTATCATAAATTTGACTCTAGCTACGGCCCTGGTTCAGTGTTTTATAATACCGGCCATTAGACAATTACCTAAACAAATGATGCGGACAGTGAATTTGTTGCGGAAAAAAATTCCATCATTTTTAAATATCGATATCGAATAAGTAGGTACGTTAAAATACTCAAAAAAGGGGTGTGGCACCGAAAAAAATTTCGCCTTCGGCGGTTGCCAGCTGCGCTATCGGAACTGATCTTATTATAGTTCTGCTCCCCCCTGAGAAACCTCGTAACGACGCCCCAAGGTTGTTTGAGCGAGCTGGGTTGCCTGATAACTATTATGACGTCATCTGTATGCCTAAACATAATGCAAATCTTCATAAGGGATCTCAGATGCATCATCAACCTATCAACTTTAGGAACCTTGAACAAAAACCACTTATTTTGCACTAAAAATTTAGAAAATGCCAATCATAACTCTGACAACAAAACCGATACGACTTCCATCTATGAGGGAAAAAAATGCAACCCAAAACGGATATGGATCTTCATTTGAATTATCTTTTAGTGCGGAAAGTGCCAATTTTCCGCACGCGATTGCAGTTGGTAGGGAAAAGAGACTTTCCGTACGAGTTAGGACAGGAAAGTTATTAGAGAGTTATTGGACGTGCAATAAGGACAAGCAGTATTTAAATTAGCCTTATTTTGACATCTTCGCATGCGTATTTGGGTCCGAAAATAAGGATTCCCTTAATAAGGTTACTGCTTGTCTTTATTTGTGTATGATTAGTGCGAGGCAGTAAAGTTCCCTTATTTCAAATTTCTGACATTTTGGACGACTTTGACGTTTTACTTTTCGACGATAACGTAATTTTACTTAGAAAATTTATTTTTTACAATAGTTTTCCATTTTACTGTGGGTAACATCAAAAAATGAGTATTAGCAGAAAATCACAAACAAAAATAAACACTTTTTGTGGCTGAAATTTATAAACATAGCTATCATCTGTCAAAATTATGAATACAAAATAAGATAATACTCTAGCACCTACTACAGTCTTCCAATAACTGTTTTTTTCTTGGAAAAATAGTGCTGATGCACTAATAAAATAACGTAGATCCTTAATACTGCGAGGCAGTATTTAATAGTTCCAATAACTCTCTATTATTATTATTATAAAAAATGCGGCGCTGTAGTGTCAAATTTCAATTGAGCGGTTAAATAAACCGGTAGCTGTCAAAAAATTCCGGTAAAAGTTAGGTGAAAGTTCAGTTGCAAGATTTTTCTGGGTGGCTTTATTTGAAATTGATGCAACTTTGCGTAGACTCAAATGATGTCATTCGTGATTAAAAATTGGTGCACTTTTTCCCGTCGGTCATTTTTGAGAAATCGGTTATTGATTGATGTCTTTGGATTCGGTCACTCTCTTTTAATAAGTAGCGACATCTAGTGTAGAATCAACGATTTAACAAAAGTAAGATGAGTGCAACAAAGACATTGACATTTGCACTGTTGCCAAAACTTTTAAAGTGGTGACATCTAGTGTAAAATCATCGAGTTTCAACGCGCATGTCAATTGTGACGTAGGGCTTGTGCATCCCCCCATTGAAAAAACTCGGTCCGGCTCGAAGGACCACACACAAAATTCGGTGTGTTTTTTTTGTTCGGTTGTATTTGGTGTTTTGTGTTGATTTAGTGTCTCACCGAGGGGCCGATTCTCATCTGAAACTGGTAAGTGGATGGTTTTCAATGGTGTTTTTTGCTACAGAGGCCATTATTCTGTCTCTTTGCCTGTACCCTGCTAGGAAATCGATTGAATCCGGACATTTTTTTGTCGCGTTTCGAGTAATTTTAGTTTGCGGGGGGCGTTTTAACTGAGATTTCCTTTTTTCTAAAGTCGGAAATTATTGGTTTTTGCCTACACACCTGATAAAATATTGAATTCAATTACTTTTAGGTTAGGTTTGGATTTTAAAAGGAAAGTGTTTATTTTTGAAGAAAAACCTTTAATTTGAGGTACAGTTGTGAGCATAAAAAGTGGGACACCCGTTTTTTCCTATTGTAAAACGGGCGCACCAGCTATACCTACGGCAATGACAGGGATTGTCATATTTGACAAAAAATTCATTGTAGGGAAAAGACTGATTTACCCAAAATAGCGAAAAATGACAAGACCTGTCAGTCGGGTGTTCCACTTTTTGTGCTCACAACTGTACTTATTACTAAATCTAAATTGGTTAATGGCTGTTTCCACCAACTATTTTAGGGGAGCGCCCTAACGATAAGTATTCCCTAAAATGACATTTTTACATGGAGAGATGTCAGTTTAAGGCATACCTATCGTTAGGGCGCCCCTAAAATAGTTCGTGGAAATAGCCATAAGTACGCTACACAATAATTTTGTACAATTTGTACTTGAGTGCAAAAATTACCAAAAATAGATTTTCAAGTTATAAAGCCCATCAGAAGCTGAATTGATGCAGGAAATTGTAATTTCGGGCATCAGCACTCGACATTAGGCTATTAAAATCGTAGAACTGCAATCAGTTATCGGTTGGATTGTTACAGGAAACTGCACTTTATTTCAGAAATTCTGAACAACAGAAATGAAGCCACTTATTTGGGGGGTTTTGTATTTATTTCTCGTTTTTTTATGTTTTCTGTCTACTAGTGTTATCAGATGTCAAATTTAAAGTTATCAGGATTTGAGAACAAAATTATCAAATTCCAAGAAAAATTATCAGAAAAAGTTTTTGTTAACTATCTCTATTTTCATTTTTTGGGTTCTAGCTGGGACTCTGGCAATTGTAGCTCTCAATAAGAGCTTCAAAAAAGGTTATTGAAGACTTCGAGCCCAAGGGCTTCGTTTTCAAGATAATCGGCTTTGAAGCTTTTGCAAAATTTGACACAAAGTTTTAACTTTGAGCCTCAATACCTTCAAAAGTATTTAAGATATAGAATTGAATCTTATTTTATCTTGAAGATTATTTAATTCTGATTCAGAATATATAATTTCACATCATATTTGTTATAATATTAAGGGCCAAATTATGGACCAACTGGTAAGTGTCTGGTTGTTACCTAGTAGGTACTTTCTATGCACTAGAGAATAGGAAGTACCTGCTAGGTAACAACCAGACACTTACCAGTTGGTCCATTATTTGACCCTAACCAAGTAATCAGCAATTAGGCAATTCAATCCATCTGTCAGAAAGGAAAATTCAATATGGCGTGGCGGCCAAGCAAGTTTATTTTGAATATATTTTTATGCGTATTTTAAATTATTTTGCTTAGAGTTTTGCTTGCAACTTTGATTTTGATTATTTAATAAAATATTTGTTGTCTAGGTGTCTAAATTATTGAATCGGGCAGAAATTTTATATTTTTTTGTGTTTTTTGGCCCATTTGTGGCCGCCACGCCATCTTGAATGTCATGTGGTTTGAATTGCCTAATTCTGTGAAAGAATATCAGAATGTCAGATTATTGAAATTTTTTTGACAAGGCTTTAAAACCCAAAAAGGAAAGTTGAAAAATGCTTTTCTACTAATTTTAACCTCTTCTTTCAATTGGTGAAGTCAAAAATTCGAAAAACTGAAAATTTAAAAATTTGAACTTCCCATGGAAATTGGATTTTCAAATATTTCAAATGCTTGTATTTTGGAAACCAGTGAAGCTATTGGCATGAATCTTTTGCCCAATTGTAGCTCTTAATAAGGGCTACAAGAAAGGTTATTTAAGACTCCAAGCCCAAAGGCTTCGTTTTCAAGATAATCCGCCTGGAAGCTTTTGCAAAATTTGAGGTAAAGTTTCAACTTTAAGCCTCAATATCTTCAGAAGTATTTAAGATATAAAATTGAGTCTTATTTTGTCTTGAACATAATTTAATTCTGATTCAGAATATATAATTTTACATTATATTTGTTACAATAATGACCGAGTAATCTGCAATTGTGTGAAAGAATGTCAGATTATTGAAATTTTTTGAGCCCAAAAATTGCAAAAATTGTTTTTATTTTTTTTTCTACTTGCGTGCGCAAAGTAATAACTTTGCACACTCATTTGCGTGCGCAAAGTTGAACTTTGCGCACAGAAACTCTTTGCGCACTCATTTTTGTTATGCATAATTGCCATAGTTATACTTGATTTTTCAATGTTTTGATGGTTTCTGAATAAACTAATATTCAAAATGAAAGCTTTTAATTGAAATTAACTCTTAGTTGTTTCTTATCAAAGGTGTCCAAATTGGACCAGTCTGTACTGCTAGAAATTTGTAAAATTTTTGATATTTAAGAGACTCTCATGAAAATATTCTAGCTGATTCTAGAAATTCCAGAAGATGTGAAATGATTTTTGGGTATTTAATTTAAAAAACATTCTGAGGAATTCCAATAGATTTTAAATGATTTTTGAAGATTTTGATTTGATTGATTTTTCTAATATTTTAACAATTCAGAGTCTACTTTTTCAAGATACTGGTAGAAAAAATATTGTTCCTAACACTTGCGCAAAGTGTCTTTCCCGCACTCAAAGCTTATCCGAACTCCGCTTCGCGTCGTTCGTCTAACTGCTTTTTCGTGCGGGAAAGTATCACTTTGCGTACTTGTTAGGAAAATAACTATTACAGGGCTTTAAAACTGTAAAAACAATATTGCAAAAATGCTTTTTCATTAATTTTGATCTCCTCTTTTGACTGGTAAAGTCAAACATTGCAAAATCCAAAAATTTAAAAATTCCAATTTTTCCATAGGGATTTGATTTTCAAATATTTCAAAGGGCCATATTTTGGAAACCAGTAAAGTTATTGGATTGGCATGAAACTTTGGCTCAATCTGGGATTAGTGTTTGGTGCTCGCACTAGTACGTCAAAACACTCAAAACCAACAACCACCTTCAATTTTTTAATAAATTTTCTCGCAGCTGTATGCAACATCCTCTTTTAACTTAAAAGTGCTTTTAAAAACTGGTCACTTTTAAGCTTCTGTATTCTAGGCCATACAAAGTTTTGAAGGTACCAGTTTTAAAAAGCGCTTTTAAGTTTAAAGAGGATGTTGCATACAGCGATTGATTTTTAACTAGAAATTTGAAAAATCTATGTTAAAATTGTGGTTTCAATAACTTATGGTAGATTAGCTTGTCATTATCGATTATTGAATCGTAGTCAAAATTATGTAGAATTCGATAATTATCGGGTCATTGGCAACACTGCTGTCTACAGTCTACACTATCATCTTTTAACTAGCAGAGGAATATCCGCCTAATAAATCAATTGGAATGTAGGTTAAATACAAGGTTGTTTGAATTTGAAAGAGGTAGGTTGCTTCATAACTTTTATCTGTGATGCCTCAACTTAATGCAAATCTCTATAAGGCACCGAAGATGACGTCATTTGTTACCATAGAAAATCTGTTTCGTTTCCTATAACCTTGTTACCAGACAAGGGACAAGGGTTAAATAAACAATTGATGTTTGACGTACTGTCAATTTTTCAATAGTCAAGGTGGCGCCGAGGCATAACAAACTTGACGTCCGTAAATTATTTAAGTCCTTTTTACCTACTTGGAGTCCGTTTTGTATGTGATGCCCAGGAAATTGAAATAAATTAAAATTCATCAAATTAACAGGTAGAAATAACACACATTTATATGGAGGCAATGTTTGTTTACATTTCGGGCCACGTCGCCATCTTGAATTATCAGCTGATTCGAATTAAGGATGATTCGAATCGTCTAATTGCCCCCATATTAAATCCTCACCTAATATGTGGTTTGGGTTTGGATCAAGGTTGTTTAAAGGCAAGGATATTACGCCGCTACATAGGATAGTCTATCCTCATAAGGCCTGTGTAGTTCAAATCTTAAGTCCCTTACCATGTCACAGTACTTGTGATGACGCAAGCAACGTGTCCGAGAATGTTTCTCACTACAGTTGATGATGTCACAGCGGTACAACACTAGACATATTTTAGCGACCCGTACCTATACATCATACTACACATTCTACGATTTATGACGTCATAGTTACCCAAATAACAGGTGGAGTGTATTTGACAAATGGTCTAAAAGAGGACGTCATGATCGTTGTTTATTTGGGAAAACACAATCCTCTATTTATAATGGAGAGAACTGTGATGGTAATCGTAGTCAGCTGTTTTGCCCATATGCTCATTTTCGTATATTAGAAAAAGATGCACTGACATAGTACAACCAGTAAATATCCCACATATAATGGTTACTGTTTACAGCCGAGTTTTATGTTGTGATGTCATAGTATGTCAGCCATGATCGCTAAAATGTAGTATCCCAAGTAAATACAACATACTACTGGGTTAAGGGCAAGGGCCGAATTTATAGTCGCTCCTTGAGGTTTCCTTGGACCTTAAGAAAGCCTTGAACGTTTAGAATTGACATGACTAACTTGTCAAATAGTACCAAGTGTCCATTCTAAACTCACGACCTTTAAGGCAGAGTCAAGGAATGACTATAAATTCGGCCCTAAAACTCTCACTAAAATACGCCTAATATGTCATTGGTTCCAAAAATCGAAGCCATAGTAGTGTGTAATATCCTTGGTTTGGATTAAAGCTGCTTAAAGCCTAGTACTCGTAACCGCGAAATTCTTGACATTGTTCGATAATTTGACGTTTGATTCACGCACCGCGAATTGCGGATTTTTATTTTGCGGATTTTTTTTCACTTGGTCGAATTTATTGAAACCTGTCAAACTTAAAAAT